CTCTCTCTCTCTCTCTCTCTCTCTCTCTCTCTCTCTCTCTCTCTCATCTATCTATCTTTGAAGCAAATGCGTAGCGAGTGCTTCGCGTTTAAAAATTTAAATAATTTGATATCTGGCAGCAAGTGTCGCGCACGAGTGAGCGCGCGTACACAGAGATGTATAAACCCGATATAGCACACAGAGTTGGTGCTAATTACATCTGCATACGTAAAGCGTATACGTATATATACCGATATAATGCGAACAACGTATCAGCGTAGTTTGAAAGCGAGGTAATGGAACTGAGAGAGAGAGAGAGGCAACCCGTGGGCCGGATCCTGAGTGAGGATTTTATCAGAGCAGAGAGTGAGGGGGACGAGAGAGACAGAGGAGGGGGACAGAGGAGAGAGAGAGAGGAGGGGACGAGAGAGAGAGACGAGAGAGAAGGAGAGAGAGAAGAGAGAGAGAGGAGGGGACGAGACGAGAGAGAGAGAGAGAGAGAGAGAGAGAGAGAGAGGAGAGAGAGAGAAGGAGACGAGAATGAGAGAGGAAGGGGACGATGAGAAGAGAGAGGAAGGGGGACGCAGAAGAGAGAGAGGGAGGGGGACGAAAAGAGAGAGAGGGAGGGCGATCAGAAGAATGAGACTGCAGAAGGTAGTTGATGAGAGAGGTTTAGTGTTTAGGTGTCTGAGTTCGGGGGACTGGACAGAGACGAGAGAGAGAAAGACGGGAGAAGTTTCGTTTTCGCAAAGAGAGAGAGAGAGAGAAAGAGAGAAGGAGAGAGGTTAGAGCGCGCGGCGTTTTTACGGCGCGACGAGAGAAAGAAGAGGAGAGGGACGAGAGAGAGAGAGAGAAGATGAGGGAGAGAGAGAGAGGAGGGGCTGATGGGGGGGACATGAGAGAGAGCAAGAGAGAGAGAGGAGGGGGGACAATCGATGAGAGGTAGGGAGTATGCCCGCATCGTGGGTGGATGCCAAGGGATAACGCCCACGGTGCGGGCGAGGTTGCGCGAAGAAGAAGCCATGTAGGTGTATAGTGTACTGACAATGATTGTAAGAGAGGAGGATGTGTAAGAAGTCTATATAAGAGAGGTGTGTAAAAAGTGTAGTTATGGGAGCTGTCTTAAAGAATTTGATACAGGAGAGATATGTATAGAAGGGTGTAATGTAAGCTGTGTAAATAAAGGTACTGTAACATATGATTTACAGATGTTACATAAATTAGTTAGAGACGCGGAGTGCGGCTAGACTTGGGGTTGTTTTGGTGGTAGTCTATGTAGACAGAGCGTCGCGCATCTTGTGCGGCTAGATTGATGTTATAGGGAGAATGGTAAACGTGTTTTAGGTCGGGCGTTTCTAGGGTCATTCTTAAATGGAGGTAGGACGCGGTCTGGGAGAACAGGTGACATGTGCGCTTAGGATGTAGGGGTTTTGGGGGTAATATATAGGACAGAGATGTAGGAGCTTGTCGGGGAATCTGGTTGTGGTCGCGGGAGAAAGCACACGCGCTTAGGCGCGTGTCTTTGTCTCTCTGTGCAACATGTGACTACACTGTGTGCAAGTTATTAAAGTTTATTCAGTTTAATACACAAGTTTGGATTTCTATTTCATCATTTCTACATGAACTCATAAGTCAACGTTACAGTACGTAAGAGAGGGCCGCTTGCAATACGCCTCCAAACAAAGGTTTAAACGTGAAGATGTGTACGAAACGGTCTATAAAAGTAACTAAATAAAGTTTGCGAGAATAATGTGACTATAGTGAGAGAAGACTTCTAAACGAATTTTTGCGAGAGGATGTTTCCCGGAAATGGGGATGGGGAAAGCGCGAGGATGGAGACAGACGTGCAATAGGCCTAACTAGCATAGCAAATGTTTACGACACTCGGATGAACCCTTGCAAGAGATTGTGCGACATGGGCGAACACGCGCAAGTGTTCTGAGTGCAAACTAATCCGCAATGGAAGCAGATCTAGAGTGATGGACACAAATATGTCCGCAAGCGCGGCGGTGGTGGTGGGAGCGGGCAGGTGTACGTATACGTACGTATACGGCAACGGCTGTAAGCAGGTGAAAGCAGGTAGAATTAACCTATCGTTACTTATGTTATTAAATTAACTAGCCGCTACCGTTGCTTATTCGTTTATTGCAAAGCTGCAGAGACATAAATGTCACGAAGGCACGGACGTTGCCGCGGGGATGGATGGCACGCGGGTGACTTCGAGGAGGACGGAGGGTATTAGTCCGAGTTTCCTTTGACCAATGCCCACACTGACAATTTTGGTGGATTTGGTGTGGGTTAACCACCACATCCAACCCACTGACCCACACAAAATCCACCAAAATCGTCGGTGTGGGCATTGGTCAGAGGAAACTCGGACTAGGAGGGTATGTGACGTAAGTAGTGATGACGTTGCTGAAGACGTTGAGGAGGACGGAGGGTTACGTGACGTAGGTAGTGATGACGTCGACGGCAGCGGTGGCACGACGTCGGCTGGTGACGTCACGGGGGCAGTGACCCGGCGGACACCGACGAATAACTATTCCCGCAGTCGTATAATGTCTCTACAGGTAAGAGAGAGCGACGGGGGGAGAAAAACGAGTGAAGGGGGAGAAAACGTATACTTATACAAAATACAATTATACAATTATAACGTAAATAAATAAAGCCTGAAGCATCAATTACTCCTCTCTGTGCACTCATCTCTCTCTCTCTCTCTCTCTCTCTCTCTCT